CGCTGCCACTGCCGGTACGGACATTTTGACACCTACCTCGGCGGCCCGGCCCCAGTCATGTATTCACACAGGAGTTAATAACAGGAGACCTCACAGAGGGCTCTCCTCTTAACCTCCTCCTCCTCACACGGCTGGTAAGGTACCGCAGGATATTGGTCTTGCAAACTATTTAAATATAAGCACTGCTGAGGAAGAGTGGAGCAATTGCTTTCAAATGGGTCAGGAAGGTCAATGTTTGACTATTGCCATGGATACAGCATTATTACTACTGAAGGCTCAGCCACGTGAAGAGGGCAGTTTGGAGATGCTGACAGGCTGGGCTTGTCAGATGTTATGGCAGGGCTGGTCCGTGGAGCAGATGTGTTGCTTCGACGTAGCAGAGTGTGTAACCTGTAAATGCTCTTTAAGTAAAGACTGCAAAGCTTGTATTTGACTCTCTGCTATTCCCACCCCCTCCCTTGGATATTGTAAATAGCATGGTTTTCAACAGAGCAGCAAGCCTGTTTTCTGTAGTCTTTCCTTACAGCCTTTCCTCTTTATCATCCAGCTACAACTTGTTACCCACTATTCCAATGACAGGCTTCCCATGTTTATTAAAAACATACATAAATGAATTTATACCATGAATGCTTGTTCATTTAAACATTGTTAAAGATCCAGCTTTAACCCGTAACAGCCAGGAAAATTTGAAATTTAACCAACCTGCCTCACCAAGATAGAGTTTCTCAGTGCAGTAGGGATTTTCTTCCCACATGGTCTGTTACTATCATTGCACTACAGCAAGATTTCTGTTTATTTGTCACATACTCTTTTAGCAAGCAACAGGATGGCTGTACCATCACACTAGTTACATTCCAGAGGATATTGGCTCTTGTCCTGGTTTCAGCCGGGATAGAGTTGATTTTTTCTTCCTAGTAGCTGGTATAGTGCTGTGTTTTGGATTTAGGATGAGAATAATGTTGATAACACACTGATATTTTGGTTCTTGCTGAGTAGAGTTTACACCAGTCAATGACTTTTCAGCTTCCCCTGCTCTGCCAGGTGCACAAGAAGCTGGGAGGGGGCACAGCCAGGACAGCTGACCCAGACCGGCCAAAGGGCTATTCCATACTGTATGAGGTCATGCTCAGTATATAAACTGGGGGAAGAAGAAGGAAGGGGGGGACGTTTGGAGTGATGGCGTTTGTCTTCCCAAGTGACCGTTATGCGTGATGGAGCCCTGCTTTCCTGGGGATGGCGGAACACCTGCCTGCCGATGGGAGCAGTGGATAAATTCCTTGCTTTGCTTTGCTTGTGCACGCGGCTTTTGCTTTACCTATTGGACTATCTTTGTCTCGGCCCACGAGTTTTCTCATTTTTATCCTTCTGATTCTCTCCCCCATCCCACCAAGGGGGGAGCGAGCGGCTGTGTGGTGCTTAGTTGGGGGCTGGGGTTAAACCACGACACTCTGAAAATCAGCATGCTGTGCTATTCCCTAGATTTATTTCTATTCTGTTGCTTCAGAAAAAAAGTTTGCACTTATTTCTCTTTCCTTCTTTGACTGCATTCTGTGAAAGAAAGAAAGAGACTCTCTTGTAAGTGGCAGTGGCATAGCTCGGTCTTGCTCCCTGAACAGGGTTTGTAAA